AACTGGAACTAAGTCCAAAAAATTCAAATATTATGTTTTGTAATGGAAAAAGAAAAATGCTGCTTCATCTTACTTAAGTATGATACTAGTCAATACAAGTCTCCTTGAAGAAAAGTTTTACCTTCACGAAACTCTGGATTCTTTTAATAATCGTAATATAATAACCCTATTCTCATTATGACCAGTTTTTCAGACCACCTAAAACCACGTATCACACTTTATCACCCAAATAGGTAACACCTAACATATCACTTGTATCTTTGGAAACATCATGATCGAATATTTCGAACATTGTTTGACCGAATCTCTATATATGGGACCGGTTGGTAAAACATTAAAAATGTGTTATTTCCTACTGATTCATCAATATTCATATGATCGACTACAACTACAACTTTTCTATCCAAAAACGTATTCAAATTAAATGACAACTAATTAGAATTTTATTCGTCCACATCAGCTGTCGATACAACTCGATCAGTCGTGACCAATCAGTTGTATACAATCGCTTATCTCTTTTTATAATCGCACACTGAAACGCTGAGTGAAAACAAATACTGACGCTTTCATTGTTTATTTGTAGTATTCATTTGCTTTATTCATCTTAGAAATGGAAGAAAGTTTACCGGTAAACCACAATATGAATTTGATAGAATCGTTATTCATTATGAGATACCACAGAGCAAACGTTTGTTTTTTCCTAGGATTTTCACTCTTGGTCTCAAAAATTCCTTTTCGTTTACATTGTAAGCAAAAATAGAAGCCAGTCTCAAAAGGGCACGGAATGCGGCTAAGAGAACAAGTTCAAACTACGTTATTCATGTTTAATACCAGTTTAATGAGGTTCAAGTTGTAATATGGAAAATGGGATATTTTGGATTTTGTTTTGTCTGTCTGTTCGCTAATTTTTGCCCCGTCTATATCTTGAGAAGTGTCGGTCGGATTTTGATGAAATTCTCAAACAGGATTGCTACTATTCCAAGGACGAAAAAACTTCGTAGTTTTTGAAAATCCGTCCAGTGGTGGCGGAGAAAAATGAAAAAACAAAAAAATAAAAATCGCTCAAATTTCATTTTCTGACGTTTCCGAGGGTCGTGATCATTTTCAGAAATTTTTTTGTATAGGTTGAATTCGAAGGTTAAGGGGTGTAGGGGATAACTCGCTGCTGCGATGTTGTGCTGGGCGCTGCCGTGCAGATGTGGAAAGGGACAACGTTGCCAGATGGACAGTAACTACCAGGAGAGCAAGGAAAGAATGTTTATGCGCCTGTTTAGGCTTAATCTGTTTAATTTGTCTGTAGTACATGTTCGTAACTAACTTTTTCCTCAGATGATTTAAATTGCGCGAATATTGTACACAAATTCGT